AAAAATACGCTTTTTTAATAGATAATGCAAGGGGAGATGAAAAAAGTGAAAATGAGAAAGTCGAAATGGTCAATACCTAGAAGAGACTCACCTGAAATGGCCTACATTGTTTTTCTACTCACAGATGCGAAACTAAAGATTTTCTTAAGGCTTAGTTAATATGAAAGTATTTTTTTTTCTCTCTTAAGCCAAAAATGCTATTTTCCATTGACGTCATCATAAAATACAACATTACGAACTCACTTCCGGTCAAGAAACGTCACTTTCTAGATGTAATGTTATGTTCCTAAAACGTGTACGTTGAATACACCAGAGACTACAGCGTCCTTGAAGTAAAAGTGGGCATTAAGTAATCGTGTCCGTGAAGTATTTGGGTCCGTAAAATAAAAGGTGACACAAAAATAAATATATTGATTTACGAGACAAAACCAAATTATTAAAGTTGTGAAAAATTTAATATACATCTCGGACCTTACCGGAATGTTCCTCAGAATAGAAGTCTGTTTACATTTTTTTCATAAGAAATAAATGACACAAAAACAAAAAATTTTCTAAGAGTATTCCAATAACAAAAAAGGAGTACAGTCCTACGTGTGGTAAGTTAAACACTGTAGTTGACTAAAAATGTGAAAAAATGTTTTTATTAATTCCTTTCCCCTCATTAGGTCGTTGTAGTCGGGATTGGATTGGATTGGATTGCTAGTTCATAACACACACTGTCGACGATTATGTCACCCTTGCGACGACAATATTGACATGGTGTTTTTTCATGTGATCGATAATATTAGTTTGCATGAATCACTTTTATTTATTAACTTTAACTTATGGTAAACAATAAAAATTAAACCCTAAATGAAGAGAAGTATGTAGCAACTTATTATTGTTTGATGTTAGATACTTACTAAGTATATGCAAAGTTACCGTACAAGCTTAAGTGGTCAATATATATGAAAATAATTACCATAATATCCTACAATTTTTTATAAGAAGAGTTTGTAATAGCTAATTTTTTGCTCATGCTGTTTTAACTAAAACTTAGAACCTATATAATATAGTCATATTTAAAGAACTTACCTTATTATGAACTTCGGATTTGTTTGTCATTTAATAAAAGTTAATCGGTTCCTAGGAAAAGAAGTTTAGTTCACCAATTAAAGTATCACTTCACCTTTCACTAAAAACCAGCTCATATTTCCAGTTCATTCCGGTTTAGAAAAAAAAAACCGAAGACTTACACATGAGTCGCTAAAAAATCGCTGCTACGATTAGACATACTTTCGAACAACAGCAAAACAAGTGGAAGCGCGCCCATATTCGTTTAGAGATCCGCCAGATCACTCAACCGAAGCAGCAATTCGTATGGAACGCGTGTGTTTTTATGTTTTTGAGAAAGCATATTGTTTATAAATAGGGTAATAAACATGACCAGTCCAATATATTGCCACTAATAAGGTGGCCCAACCCAACTACTGCACATTTGGTAAAAATTTTGGATATGTGGAGCCTCATATATTTTTAGGCTTTTAGCATGAGGCATGTTACAAAAGACTTCTAAAAGACTAATTCCTTTATTGCAACGAACGAAATTTGGGAGTCTGCCTCAAAATTATTTCAATATTATTTTTGATCAATCCCAATAATTTTATGTGGCATAATTGCATCTACCCAAAAATAAAATCGCGCTGTTTCAGCGCGTAAAGGTTTGTATAAGAAATCAGTGAGAATAAAAGTAAATCTTGAATGAGCGGGGACAAGTTCTCTAAAAAAACAAAAAAATCTTATTATATTTGGAAAAATATGTCAAAAATTTATATCGAACTGTCAAACTAAGTATACATATACTGTTTTATTTTGTATTGATAATTTTATTCGAGCAGAATGAGCGTATATCCCTCATCTGCTGACCGAATTAGTTTACTTTCTCCACCCAAAAGCAGTACAGACAGAAGTAAAGTAAACACTTTCAGAACTGACTCCCAAGCATCTTCTTCAAAGACAAGTTCACCCCGGGTATGACAATTTAACTTTTATTTAAGCTAAGCTAAGCTAAATACGTGCCTTCATATTTAATAATTTTATAATTAGACTAAACAAATAAGTTTTTCTTAATCCCTTCATTTTAAGAAATAGCTTTCTAACGTTAATTTTACTGATATAGAGGGGAGGCACACTGTAAAACTACATGCTCGTAAACAAAAATATGTAGAGAAATTGTTTCTTGTTTTCCATTGCAGGATATTTCCCTACAAACAATAATAATAATTAGTGTGAATATGCTTGTTCACAAACCGGGCAATTCAGACTATTACAGTTTTAAATTTTCTATTTTATGTGGGCATGGGAAACCATCAGTGAGTGTCATTCTCAAAAAAATTCGGAATCCACCATCATTTATTTTCAGTTGCATTAATTTATTTTCAATATATTGTACTCCATTTTAAAAAATGTCGTATTTGAATATCATTTATTTATCCTTCTCCTCTCACAAATATACACCGTGTCCACACCTAGTGCGAGTAAGTCCAATGTCTAGGCTAATAAAAGATATAACTTAATTTTTTTTCTACAGAGTTGCCTACTTTCCCGAGCTGCACAAAATGAAAATATATTTAAATATACAGGGTTTTCAGTTCTTCCTGGGCAGGTACCAACTTAATTTTTTTAAATGGAAACCTACATTTTTTATGGCATTATCGAATTCTGCATGAAAAAATTAACGGGACCCGTGTTATGACCCCTATTGAAATATTGATAGTTTTCGAGATAATCGACTTTTCAATCATAATTATGTCAACTACTAGAAGTGACAAAACAAGAAAAAAAAATGAAAAGTCGATTGTCTCGAAAACTATCAATATTTTTTTATAGGGATCATAACACAAAGTCCCGTTAAATTTTCACGTAGAATTCGATAATGCCATAAAAAATATAGGTTTCCATTTAAAAAAGTTAAGTTGGTACCTGCCCAGGACAAACTGAACACCCTGTATATGCAAATATATTTTCATTTTGTGCAGCTCGGGAAAGTAGGCAACTCTGTAGAAAAAAAATTAAGTTACCTATATCTTTTATTAACCTAGATATTGGACTTACGCGCACTAGGTGGACACGGTGTACAACCTACAATTCGTATAGCTACTTCACTTTAAATATATTCACTGAAATATTAAATCCGAATAAATAATATTTTCTGGGACAAACATACAACATACCTATCATTAATGTTTGATTTTGTTTACGGTTAATTAACTTAAATTAACATTAAATGCTTTTGCATCAGGCATTTGTTTAAAAACATTTGTAGGTATGTGAAGATTTTTTATAGATCTAGACTAGACTTAACTACTAAATATTTTATTAAATTTGATGTCATGATTAACTGAATACATATTTTTTAAATTAATTTATAAAACTCAGATGTTTCGCGGATTACTATGACGACTCCTATTACCTGACCAACGCATTTCTGGAGAGATAAATTACCCCAACAGCATTGTTTAGGTGACCAGCTCAACCAATTGACTATATTTTACGGGGTTATTTAAAAAGTATTCTTCTTAAGGAACTAACTGAAGATACCTATGGCAGATTTTTTAAATATACGTCTCAGTTTTAATCTATGAAACTTCGGGAACAGATAGTACAACGAAAAATAATGGTACTTTGTCATACAAACTTATTTCGAAATATCAACCGATTTCGAGATACAGGGTGTTAATAATTAAAAAATTCATTTATTGTAAATATCTTCTGAAATAATACAGGTATTTGAACTAAATTTAGTGTACGTTTGGGAAATTCATTCGACTATTTCATAGAAAAAATAATATGGTCCTATGTAAAATAATAATTTATTATATTTTCCGAAAAAGCATGCCAATAGAAACAAAAAATGCCTCTTACATTTTGTCGATATCTGTCTCTGTTTAACGGCAAATTGGATTTCTCTTTTTCCTTTCAAATTAGCCAGCCTACTGCTCGCTAATGGATTTTTTAAATTCCTGTTAGAAATATTTCGGCTAGTTACAACTAATTTAAAAAAATAAAGTAGCATCTTTTAAATCAATAATATTAGGTATTATTTGGTATTATTTGATTATTGTAAGAACTTCAAGAGAATCATTAATTTCCAAGTTAAAGTCAACTTTATTTCGCATAAACGTTGAAAACCCTCAATAAATATCCGATGATTATGAATAATTCTGTCGAGGAATCTTAGTTTATGCCATAGATTTTCCATCACATAGTTATTCATTACAATAAAAAATATCTGCGTATTCTTTTTGATCTCAAAAGAATAAAATAAAATCAGGATTGTTTTGTAGTATTTGTAGAAACAAGGAAATAATTGTCATGTCAACTTTAGTGGTACATAATTATCAAATATTAAGTTAGTAGGTACTTAAGTAGTAATAAAGTTAAAGTAATAAAGATTATCAACTTACAAATTTAATTTCAGTAATTTTATTTAATCTAATAATTACATCTTTTAAATTATCAAATGGAGAATATGCAGATATTATTTATTGTTATGGGGTATGTGACGGAAATTCTGAAGCAGCAATACGTGAGTACCTACAGTATTTATTTCAAAACGTGTATTTAATAAACAAGGTGACACCAAGACGAACTAAAGTTTTCTATGACTCTTTTACTTATACTGCTGTACCATAGTCAAATTGATACCTATTCCCACAAAAATAAGTAACTTATTCTTGTGCTCTTTCTAATAGGTATTCGATTTTATTAAAGCTAACCTAACCTAACCTCGTTTATACCTCGTGGCTCGTACCGTTTGCAAAATTTCTAATGAGCATTCTTAGTTGAATCACCAAGTATAACGAGAATAATGTTGAAAATAATGATAAGGATATACCTAAATATTCTTGTTTCGAAGAATGATTAAATAAGCCCCAGACAATGCGGTCACTTACCGAATATTTGTCAAACTTAAACAAATGCCGTATCGTGTGGATGCTGCTTATCGGTTCACTTTCAATATGTTCGCCAAGAGAGATATTGGTCATGTGCTCATATCTGACGTATGTGTGATACATTTTGACTATATTATCTAGATCTGCCTTTAGAAATAGAAAGAATGGAAACATTGAACTTTTTCCAATCAACAATAAATTAGTTTGTATATTGGGTGTACTATATAACTATTTATTTTGAAGCTAGAAAGAATAGCTAGAAAGTCAGTTAAGATATTATCCCTATTAATAAAAATAGGATTGTTCTCTTTTCCAAAATGCCTCTAAATTGTCATTAAATTGTAACTATGTTCTTATCAGGATTTCAACCTTCAAGATACCGTACATTATCTGTCTCCAGCAACATCTAATACAGCACGTACCGAATATGAGGGAGATTTCCTGTATGACCAGTTTGTCGAGTTTCGAGCAACCTTACCTCCACCATCACCAGACTATGAGAGTACGGTTTCGTCAACAATATCATGCGTAGAACCTGAACTACAAAGGACTTTGGCCATCATAAAACCAGAAGCTATAAAATATAAAGATGTGGTTTTAAGAGCTATCAATGAGTCCGGCTTAAAAATAATAAATGTAAGTAGACATGGAAAAATTATCACTTATTGAATATTACCTGAAATTTTGTTTTTTTTAAGCAGTTTTCAAAATATGTCGTCTTTTGTTTATTATATTCTTTCCATTAAGAACTTTTCAGAGAGAGACCAAATGCATTATACAGAGTGTAACGAAAATATGTCAAGTATCTTTGAGGGTGCATAGAATTCATAAAAGTAATGAAGGTAAGCCATATAAAAGTTGTTTTTGAAATACTATCTTGAAGATATAAATGACGTTGAAGTCTTGAAAATAAAATAATTTTTTTCGAAATGTTTTCCAAAGTACTGTTCCGAAAAACTTCATACTACTTAGAATATGATTGTTATTTTCCCTTAATATGTTCTGTCTTTAGGTATTTAATGTTTATAATATGTGGTATATTTTCTCTTATATTTTGCAGAGTAATAAAAAAAATCAAAATTTCAAGTTATAAAAAAGGCTTACCAACATTACTTTTTTGTGTATTTTTATCATATATTATGCTGTTATCTTAACTAACGCACTAGTGCTTTTTAACGCCATCTAGTATTTTCTGAAAATAGTATAGCCTTGCCATCTCCAATAATATTGACAGTTTGATAAACCATTAGATTCTTAACCGAATTAAGGAAATATATTATTGATCATTTTTCCATGGTGATTATTTTTCTTGAAACAAAAAAATGCTACTACACATCCCTCCTAACAAACATTTATAAATATAATTAGAGGGCAAATATGATGATATAAAAAGTGCTACAAACGATCCTATTTTATTTTTAATTTTAATTAATATTTTACTGCCCATATTGTCAAGTGAAAGTAGTAAATATTAAATTTTGATTCTAATGAATCTAGAAGTTTTATATCATTGCTAAGGATGTTTTTTTTTGTAACCATAAAATTGAAATAGGTGCAGTATTAATTTACTGGTAGTATATAGTAATTGGTCTTAAATATGAAATCATAAAGAAAATAATTATTTTCGCCATTAATCGTATATACATAATTATTTAACACACCTAATAATAAAAATGTCATACTTTCCCTTTTAGCGTATAGCATCGTAATCAGAAAGAAAGATGCTCTAAATTTGATGACAGGTACAATTTATTTAATGTGCACATGAGTGATAAAATAGTACATTGTGTAACGAGTGGGGAAAAGTTGCCAATAGCGCCACGAGGACGCAGTTGACGCACGAGCGAAGCGAGTGCGGAAAGCGCCCAAGTGGCGCTATGGCAATTTTTCCGAACGAGTTGCACATACTATTTTCTATCACAAGTGCGAGTCGTTATGGGACCTATAGTGTAGGGGGTTAGGTGCACTGGAAAGTGCTAGATAGTACAACAGCGTGATGTTATTTTCATAGCGCAACGCTGGAGCGTTGCGCTATGAAAATAACATCACGCTGTTGTACTATCTAGCACTTTCCAGTGCACCTAACCCCCTACACTATAGGTCCCATAGCGAGCTCGCGTGATAGAAAATAGTAAGCGTATCAGAATTTCCACAAAATATTTATGGAAAATCATTTACTTCGCCATCTTGCTTTTTTGGCATATTGTTAGTTACCTGCAAAGATAATGGATCGGTCATGCAGTGTTACATGTTATTTTAAAAATAACATTTATGTTCTTAAGACAATATATACTAGACTTCGAAGCTATCTATGATCGATCATCTGTTTATATCAGTGTATTCTGGGGCTACCAGACATGCTCACCACGAGTAATATACGTTGTTTTTTTAACTAAACTAAACTAAATGTTTGCGTTCCCATATCTTGAGCAGATCTGAAAATGTTTACTCCAAATTTGCTACAGAAGGGTTTTTAGTGATGTTAACTTACAATACAACTTTAATATATATTTTATTAAAAAAATGCACCCTATTTTTAATTTGAGATCCGTACTAAAGTCAAATTAAGTTATAGCAAAATAATCGCCTTGCAGATAGTTTCTCGTACTAAATTATCAAAAACATTCAGTTTAAAATAACAAAGATATTATGTGAGTGACTTCATGAAAGGTAAAACATTGAATAGGACGATTTTATTTTAATTTTTTTTTGTTTTCATTCATCAACAGTAAACAAGGTAGGTACTTAATATGTAGCCACGCCTTATGTTTACTTCTTCATATAACAATCGTTTCTTCTTTTTGATTTACTCGGTGCATTGTAACTAATGTAGTCAGGTCGAGAGAGTGATATAGTTTCTATACAGTGTGGACCATTTTGGTGATGCATGTATTGGTATCTTAGAAACTATAAGAGATAGGAAAATAGTTTTTAGCAGCAAGTTTTTTTGACGAATTTCACTGTAAGTATATTTAGATTTTCATTGAGACGTTTCGGTAGTGTGAAACCATCTTTTCTTATGAGCACCATATTAAATTTTAAGCTGAGCAAATAGAGCATTTTTGACTTTTCAGTGATATAATATAAGTAAGAAAAAATTTCAGAAACAACCCCAAAAATCAATATATTAATATTTTTAATAAATCTGGCAACACCGCATAATGTTTCGAAACTATTAAGTATAGAATAATCTCAAGTTTTTGTAAAACTTATCATTAATGTCATGGCGTCAGTGAAAAAAATATAGTAGTGGCTACGTGTTTACGAACAAAAGCCCCATTAGTAGTCTATGAATCTCCATGACGATAATAATATTTTCATTTGTTTCAAATTACTTGTCATTTTGAACTAATGTTAATCATAGAATTAATTATTAACAGTTAAGGGTGACACTTGTTTTAAAATTGTCAAAACGGCTTTGCGTTCCTTCAATGAAGAAAAATTTGATACCTATGTGCTATATTAAAAATAATAGAAATGCAACTATGGTTATAACTCAAAAACCAGAAGAGCTAGGACCGGTCTGCAAGCGTCATTAAATTAGCAACAGAACTGTCTAAAACTTTCCCCATCCTATCTTTTATAGTTACCAAGATACCAGCACATACACATCAATACAATGGTCCACACTGTATAGTTTGTACAGCTACTTAATTGGGCCCTTGAAAACTGTTCTAGATTGTACCAAATGTATTAAAGCCTGTCTGGTACTAGTCTTATATCTATTTATCAAAAAATGAGACAATATTACTTCAAGTTGTAAAAATACATTTTTCGTTTCTGGTTGAGAGTTTTGTAGTTTTTTGCGATTTATAAAATTGTATCATTATTTAAAACATTTGTAAATGCCAAGAAATAATATTTTTATTTGACTAAATGAACGCCGCTCATAAATCGTTGATTTCTAGAAGAGAATCATCCACCTTAGTCCAGAACAAGTTTCTGAAATTTATGCTCAACATTATGGTAGTCCAGCCTTTCCACATATTGTTGTTTCTATGAGCGTGTCACCACTTTTGGTCCTATCTTTGGCTGGTATAAATGCAGTCGAAAAATGGAAAACAATGACGGGCCCTTTCGGGTCAATAAGAGAAGAATGGTTCTTCCCCTATAGCGTTAGGACACGATTTGGTATACAAGACGACCAACCCGACACTTTACATAGTTCTGAAAACGTCAGTGAAGCCAAAACAGAAATTAGATATTTTTACCCCACAAGTAAGTGGTTCAAATTACAGATAGTCCTGGAAATCATAGAATAAATTGGAGGGAATGAACTTTGCCTATTTGGTCAATGGTCAGTCAATTTTCAGTTTCATTGATAAATTTTAACTCTTTCAATTACTAGATATTTGAATTTAAAAATGTCCGAATAAAAATTCTTGGTGATAACTAGAGATCGGAAATGTTAGGGCAGCTGTAATGTGGTACAGAGGTAGAGATTAATAGCAAAGGTTAAAAAAAACAATGTAATAATTTATTTGCAAGATACATGGTGTTTCCAAATTATGTAATTATACAGGGTGTGTTCAAATTTCACCGATAATGTTTGATTGCATATTCACGAGACTAAATAAATACGATCTACGAAAAAAGAAGTTAAATAAAAAATGATAATAATGACATTACCTGATAGCCATCATGCACAGCAAACAACATTTTGTTTTCATCGCCTACTGAACTCAAAGTTTTAAATCCGTGGTTCTGCTCCGCAAACCGAAACGTATAGACAAATAATGCTATTTTTCTCAAGAATGGTTTTCTGTAGGCGATTTTCTCGACATTTTTTTTAATAAAACCTTTTCAATCTTGCTGGTCGTTTAAAAAAAATACGACACTGTAAAAATTTTGATCGCTAAAAGGAGGAGGTAACCGGAGAAAACCACCACCCAGTATATCGATTTGGCTAAAGCTTATGAAGGGTTATGAAGTTATTAACAGAGAGCGGACAATTTGTATCTTTAACCTTGAACATAGATATGTCATTCATAAACCTAGATACATTATCCATGACGCAGTGGCATGTCGGGTATGCATCGGGAATTTACGTGATAATTCACGAAAATTCCACGGTACATACATTTTTAGGCGTTATAAAATATTTAGAAAATCAGAAATTGTATACCACATATTTATTAAATAAAGTTCGGTTAAAAATAGTGTCGTTCTTTTAATTGGAAGTTAGGAGTCAATGTAACGAATAGCCTCAGGCGACGCACATGATAGAATAGTCCAACTCACGCTCCATTTATAACAGGGCTGCAGTTTGAATTCTGACCAATAGGAATTCGATAAACGCAACCGATGTCGACGGATAGACTAGAGATGGGCGCGAGTGTCATTTCATTTCTTTAGAACTAAATTAACTTAATTATTTTCTCGTTAATTAACCTGTTCCTTTAATTTATGGATTTTAAATAAAGGGTACAAATCTTCGCGAGGATAATACGATATATTTTGCATAGTTTATACACAATACATTTTTGAACGCGTACACATCTCTATCAAAATTTGACCTATTCTTCGGGTTAAAGACACACATTGTCCGCTCTCTAGTTATTAATTAAAATATGTAGTCAAACGTTGTCGGTGAAATTTGTGGACATCCTGTATAACTATAATTACAGGGTGTTTTAAATTGGGTCGGCAACATAACTAAAAGTAAATATTCATTTAATTTGTACACGATTATAGCAAATAGCACCGATATAGGTATTGACAGACACACTAAGAATATCAGGATTTCGGGGCCATTTTCGAAATTCTACGAGTTAATTTAATTCACGATTGTTTCTGAAGAAAAAAAGGTCACTTCCATTTTGTTCAAAAAATGAATCATTTTGTAGTTATTGTTAATTTCATCTTAAAATAAGCTTATTATATTATTATACAAGTGAATAAATCAGAAATAATTTTAGAACTATTAATTTCACTTCAAAAATGTATAGGAATTTTTAATAGATAATAAAAGTAATAGTTGGAAATTCGGATAATTCAGTGGTGTACAATTTATCAGTTGCTCCTTCAGAAAATTTAAATTTTCTTCAGCAATGTTTCTCTTTATTCTTAATAATTTGTATTTAAAATTGTATTTGCAACAAGAAAATTCTACAAATGTTTTTGTGAAGCAACCGAATTATGTTCTATTTATTCAGTTGTATAGTAAGCTTATTTTAGACAAAAAATTTAACATTTCGAATACTACTTGGTTTGCAAACAAAATAGAAGAATTTTTTGCCCAATAGGAATATGCCACTGCTTATAAAGGGTGTCTCAAAATTCACGCACATGTTTTTAATTAAAAATTGTATATATTTTTTTTATTGATTCATAAAGTATACAGTATAAAGTGTATGGAATAGCATATCAAGCGAATGGCCTCCACGGCTTTGTTAGTATATACGCACTCTTTTGTCGAAAATTTCCATGACAGTTTTGGATAAATGCGGCTGAATTTCGTTGATACAGCTCTCAATTTTCTCCTTCAAGACTTGGGAGGTCGTGGGCTTGTTGGTATAAACCACAGACTTTAAAAAACCCAAAGAAAAAAGAGTCCAACGGGGTTAAATCGCATGATCAGGGCAACCAATTCTGATTATCGAAACGGGAAATTACACAATCAGGAAATGACTCATGCAGTAATTGAATTGTTTCTTGGCCTGTATGGCATGTGGCACCGTCTTGTTGAAACCACATATCGTCTACATCCACATCTTGCAAGTTAATACAAAAAACTGAATTATTATGTCGCGATAGCGAGCACCATTAACCGTTATTGCCTGACCAGCCGCATTTTCAAAGAAGAGTCCGATGATGCCTCCAGCACAAAACAGTGACACGTTGTTAATACAACGCATGAAGATGCAAATCTTTCGTGAAAATGCGCTGCAGAGAGCTTCTGGAAATGTCCAATGCTTTCCACTGTGTCGAATTGATGTTTCTGGACTCTCAGCAACATTCTCTCGAGCTGCTTCGATATTTTGTGTTGATCAACTTGTTGAAGGAGAGCCATAGTACTTAAAGTCACTAATTATTCAGTCTCTCTGAATTTTTCAATAAAGAACCACGCAACTATCCTTATGGAAAACCGGTCCCGGTCGAATGGTACGAAACTTTGCCGAATGATAGTCTTCAATGTGTCGCTCAAAAAAGTCCATGGGACCTAGGTCGGAAAAACTGTTTTGAAGCTACAGCCTTCTGAAGTTATCGTGAATTCGATAAATCCTTTCTTTACAGTTGATGAAGTTAAATCACTATTTTGATCATGTTTTGTACGAAAATTCTGAACTGTATCTGCCAAACCTTCAATATTTTTAAAATATTGCTCAAAAATGAAAACGCGTTATTCTTTCGTTTGGTGTTCCACTTTTAATAACCCCGAACTGTCAACTGTCACGTAGACTTTTTTTTCGTTGACAACATTTTACCGTACAAATGGCGCCAAATTCAAATCTTGCATGAATTTTAGGATACCCGACACTTATCTTATTTTACAGTCTTTTCAATATAATATGGATTGTTTAATATGATTTTAGTGCTAGTTTAAAAAATATGCCATGTTAATTTTATAAAAAATGTTTATGCGCAAAAATCAGTTCTCGAAATAAATACAACTTATTTGATTTTAATTTATTTGGTTTAGGTATATTGGAACCTTTAATATCAGACGAAGATAAGGCAACAGATTACATAGTTAATTATATTAAGCCAACTTTACTGGATGGCTTAACACAACTTGTTCGAGTGAAACCTTTAGACCCAATCATATTCCTAGCTGAATGGCTGTTATTAAATAATCCATTTCAGCCGAGATTTCCTGAAAGAATTGCGCTCAATCCGCTTTAAAAGTGAATTAAAGCTTATGAAATAAAATGTATAAATTTTTATTTTATTTTAAAAGAATATATTTTTCTAAAATATAAAAGCACAGTATATATTACTGCACTAACTTGAATATTACATTAGATATTGAACAATATAGACAAAAATTAGGTAAATGGATAATGGTATAATTAAAATGTCCTGTGGTAATCGAGTACATTTCCAAACTCTAATTTTCTTACTCAATACTATGTTACCTGAAAGTATATAGATTACAGAAGTAAGTATTTTTGGCATGAAGTACTATAATTATAGTAAAACAAATTGTTTAACAAAAAATTAAATCGAGGAAGTAAATAGGACTTTTTAGAAATAGGTATTTCTAGTGAGGCCATCTATTGGCATTTACATGGGTCGGAAAGCTACATCAGTATGTAGGAAAAATTATGTCAAAATTTCATGACCTTTGAACGAACAGAAGCGGAGTTATTGCGTTTGAAGCTTAGAGCATTACTACTGAAGGCAGCGTCTCAGTGGCCGAGAGTGTAGCGGAGGTTTAAAGAGAGAGAGTATAGGAGGGTATATGTTACCTCTCTCTAGCAGCACGCGATTGCATGTTGCTAGAGAGAGACAGCATATACCCTCCTATACCTCTCTCTCTCTAAACCTCCGCTACACTCTCGCCCACTGGGAGGACGCTGCTTCCAGAAGTATAGTAGGATCATATTCGATGCAAAGTAATAAATCATTGCCTGTCAAGGGATCCAGTGCCATACGGTTTTAAGGGGTTTAGAAATTAAATAATTTCTTAATGCATTATGAAGGGATAAAGGGATCAGTTCACGTTTGGCACCCTTGTTCCTACAAAAATTCCTTTGTTCTCATAAACTATTTATTTTAAATGTAATTTATTATAAATCCAATTTGTTTTTTTAATTCCACATATGTACTACATTTTACATCCGTACGCTCCACTGTTGTTTATTTGTTTTTTGGAGGCTGTCTTTGATTTACAACCAAGCTCGCTAGGTTAGTATTTGACGTATAACCGACCACTTCGTACACTCGATGCACTTGGGCGACTACAGCTACTACCAGAACACAGTGCGTATGCACTCCTAAAAATAATGACACGGTTTTCCTTTGGTAAAAGACTGACAATTTTTTGCTCTACTTTGCATCGAATACGATCCTACTATAGATGCTCTAAGCACAGAAGATAAAACAATTGTGCTCTAAGATTTGAAGTGACAGTATGTTTGTGTTATCGGTTGATCGGTACCACTCCTCTGCGATCGGTACAAAAATGAGCATCGAACAAAAAACTAGTATTAAGTTTTGTTTTAAACTTGATCAAATGATGAACCAAGTTTATGGTGACGATTGTTTATCCCCTGGCAGAGTTCATGAGTGGTAATACGTAGTTTGAAAACTGTCGGACATAAATGATGAGCAACATATTGGGCAACCGAAATTCGTGATTACCACATATTCCATCAAAACTGTACGTGAATTCATCAAAGATAAACCAAAATCTTCACTCAAGTTAATGGAATTGTAATTGAACATCTCAAAAATATCAATTTATCACATTTTGGCTGAACATTTGTGTTATCAAAAAGTGTGTGCACGATTTGTTCCGCACAAGTTGGCTGACAACCAAAAATTGCTCAATATTGAACATTCGAAGGACATCATCAAGGTCAAAAATGACAAAAACTTTTTTTTACAACATTGTGACAGGTGATGAAACGTGGTGTTTTCAATATGATCCAGAAATTAAGTGCTAAATTGGAAGGAAGTGCCAGACGAGTCAAAACCAAAAAAAATCTCGTTTGGAGAAATCAAAATTGAAGACAATGTTGATATGCTTTTACGATTTCGCATTGTTCACAAAGAGTACGTTCCATCGGGCCAAACCGTTACTGCACAATTCTATCTTGACGTTTTCAAACATTTGGTGCAACGTATTCATCGTATTCGGCAAGAATATCGCGCAGAAGAAAGTTGGCGTTTGTTGCACGATGATGCTCGATCTCATCAATCGACACTTGTTATCGGTTTTTTGACTAAAAATCGTATTTTAACTGTCAACTACGTCCTGTATTTGCCTGATTTGGCACCGTACGACTTTTACCTTTTCGGAAAAATACATGTAAATCACTGTATTGAGTTGGAAGGGGACTATTTTGAATAAACGGTTTTGCCAAAAAACTCTTTGTTGCTCCTATTTTGAGAAAGTCCTATTTACTTACTTTGCAACGCACCTTCTAATAATAAAAAAAATAGAATAAATAAGGGATATAGTGTTCCGGATAATTTTATAATTACTGTTTACAATTAATATTTTTAAGCAAAAATGTGAAATAGTATGAAATACCCACAATGTTGGTTATTAGATTTAGGTACAACTTTTCCAGATTTTAATGCATACCTATTTCAAAATGTTAGATAATTTTTTTTTAAAATTTCTCAAAATAAAACTAAATTATCCTGACTATTTTTTTTTAATTCATTATGTATAAAGTTACATGGGGATTAAGCTTATGAAGCACAATAAATTAAGTGACTATTAAAATTACACTTACATTTCATTTAAAACTTCTTCACTGCGTTTTGGTCTTGATCCACCCCAGACGTTGCTCTCACAATGAGACCTTGCCTAGAATATAATAAAGGATATATTAAGAACTTTGACAAAAATTAACATTATACCCCTGATCCACATTCATCGGCATTTGCTTCACTTTCACACCAATACCCTGGACCCCAAGTACACCGGTTGCTTCCTACCAACCGCTGACTCCGTTTTGGTCTTGGCCCACCCCAAACTCTTGTCTCACAATGCGACCTAGCCTAGAACATAATTATATGGTTACATAAATAACATGGGTAAAATGGAAAATTTGTACCCCACATTCATCTGCATTGGCCTCACTTTGACACCAATATCCTGGACCCCAGGTACAATGGTCACTTCCTACTAACTGCGCACTTCGTTTTGGTCTTGGTCCACCCCAAACTCTTTCCTCGCAATGCGATCTAGCCTAAAATATAATCAAAGTTACATAGTGAACATGGATGAAATGAGAAACTAGTACCCCTGATCCGCATTCATCTGCGTTGGCTTCACTTTGACACCAATATCCCGGACCCCAAGTACATCGGTTGCTTCCTACCAACCGCTGACTCCGTTTTGGTCTTGGCCCACCCCAAACTCTTGTCTCACAATGTGACCTAGTCTAGAACATAATTATATGGTCATATAAAGAACATAGATAAAATGGAAAATTTGTACCCCACATTCATCTGCATTGGCCTCACTTTGACACCAATATCCTGGACCCCAGGTACAATGGTCACTTCCTACTAACTGCGCACTTCGTTTTGGTCTTGGTCCACCCCAAACTCTTTCCTCGCAATGCGATCTAGCCTAAAATATAATCAAAGTTACATAGTGAACATGGATGAAATGAGAATCTAGTACCCCTGATCCGCATTCATCTGCATTGGCTTCACTTTGACACCAATATCCCGGACCCCAAGTACATCGGTTGCTTCCTACCAACCGCTGACTCCGTTTTGGTCTTGGCCCACCCCAAACTCTTGTCTCACAATGTGACCTGGCCTAGAATATAATTATGTGGTTACATAATGAACATGGATGAAATGGAAAACTTGTACCCCTGATCCACATTCTTCTGCATTGGCCTCACTTTGACACCAATATCCTGGACCCCGGGTACAACGGTCACTTCCTAATGCTGGTGTACTTCTTTTTGGCCTTGGCCCACCCCAAACTCTTGCCTCACAATGCGATCTAGCCTGAAATATAATCAAAGTTACATAGTGAACATGGATGAAATGAAAAACTTGTACTCCTGATCCGCATTCATCTGCGTTGGTTTCACTTTCACACCAATACGCTGGACCCCAAGTACATCGATTGCTTCCTACTGTTGATACACTACGTTTTGGCCTTGGTCCACCCCAAACTTTTGTCTCACAGTGTGATCTAGCCTAAAAGATAATTATATGATTATACGAGGAACATATAGTAGTATATTACGTAATAAGTGTTGTAAAAAGCATTTTACGCACGAATGGAAAAGTTACGCACGACGCCGCGTAGCGGCGAATGCGTAATTCTATGAGTGCGTAATTGCATTACACCACGTATTACGTACTATAGTTTACCTACGACCACTACCTAAATACTTAAAAACACACCGTCTGCGATCAATGTAAGATGCCTATTTTCCGTACGGTAAAAAAATCGCACAGCTTGGTAAAAAAATCGTACAGTTTTCCTAGCAACCGCCTAGCAACGTTCAATACAAACAGTATTGTATTGACCGTTGCTAGGCGGTTGCTAGGAAAACTTAGGAATCTTACATTGATTGCAGACAGACAGTGTGTTTTTAAGTATTTACAGTAGTGGTCGTAGGTAAAAATCTAAAACTTATACCCCTAATCCACATTCATCTGCATTTGCCTCACTTTGGCACCAATATCCAGGCCCTCTAGTACAAGGTCTAGCCCCTAAAGGTTCTCTACTACTACGTTTTGGTCTTGGTCCACCCCATACCCTACTCTCACAATGTAGTCTAGTCTAAAATATCATTAAAAGATTGAAACTATACAGGATGTCCCGGTACTTGATACAAAAGTCGAGTACGAATAGATGATGTCAAAATAATATTAGTTCTTCATATAAATTTATTTCATACGGGCCTTCGTTAACAAGTTATGGGCCCTCAAAGGTAAAAATTAAAAAAAATATTTTTATTTACAGTCTATAAACTATTAACTTCAGCATGTTGCAAATTTGGTGATCGATGACACATGCATACAGCTTGTTTTTGATGATGTAAGTGAAACTTCATTATGCCCAGAACACCAGAGACGGACTATGCTTAATGGTTAACAACCCATAATTTTTGCATAGATGGCGATCGCAATCTGCCTGTATCCGTGAAGAATTTGCCAATGATAATACCTCTTGGTTCAACTCGGTAAAATTAACAGTTTAGGAAATATTTATGATTTTATGTCACAGTGCACATCGAGCGGCGCCTCCAGCATTTTTTGTTTTTAATTTTTAATTGGACATAACATAATATACTCCACGGTCGAAATTATAGAGAGTGATTCATCGCTAGCTTTTGGACTAGTAAGGGGGATGAAGCGTGCCGGGAACGAAAATCCATTGGCGTGTCTGCGTAAAAGGCAACAAGATATAGAAAATAATGAAAAAAGATAATAAAACATAACATCTAATATTTTTTTCGGTTTGCTATAACAGGCACTTTGATCCATTTTAATTATTACAGCATTTTAAAACGTCCCAATTATGTTTTTTTAATTTATAAATTTATTATAGCCATGAAATTAGACCCCTCGTCTACGCTTATGCTATGACGTTTCTCAAGACGGGTTAAATCAAGTCCGTTTACACCCACTAAAAAAGCATTTCCCTATTCCCTTCAAGTGCAAAAGACAGAGATAGAATATAGATCGACGTTCAGTGTAACTCGGTCTCTAGACGATTATAGATTCTATCGATGTGCATAGCGAGCGGCACAAAGATAAATAATATTGAACCATATAAAAATCATTTTATATTTTATACGCATTATGGTAATGGTGTTTTTATATTATGTCTTAGTCACTCTTTATAATTTCGACCGCGGAGTATAGTTGTAGTTAGAACCATTCATATTTTTAAAATAAGGGCATCTAAATCTTGTCTACTAATGTAATTTTCACTAAGAAAATTTGACAAACACACTTTACACATGACACAAAATAGAAAAACAAAACAAGAATAAAGTTAAAGTAATTTAAAAAAATAATGTAAAAAAATAACATAATAAAATACATTTTCAATATGGGCACTTTCCACCTCCACACACTTTCTAAGTCTACGAATGTTATTTGTTTGTTCACGAAAAAGCATTTTTGGGGTATGCCCAATGTTATCACAATAGAAATTAATTCTTTGTAGCAAATCATCCCTTGTCTGTACTGGGACTGGGGTTGTGTACACTAAACTTTTCAGGTATCTCCACATGGAGAAGTCCATCACGTTAGTCTGGAGAACATGTTGGCCATGAAATTGGGCCTCTCCCAATTCATTCAGTATTAAACACTATAGATAAATAATTACATACATCAATATTGAAATGGGAGAAGCCCCGTCGTGCATAAACCAAACTCTTCGAGTGTCTAATGGAACATAATAGTGGCTGCAAATTATTTTGTAAATACTTCCAAATATCGACGTTCCTCAAAAACGTATGGACCTATTATTACCCCAGAAATGCTTTTTCGTGTACAAACAAATAACATTCGTAGACTTAGGAAGTGTATGGAGGTGGAAGGTGCCCATATTGAAAATATTTTTGATAGTTTTCTTTCTTATGAATTATACATAATTTAACTTATTCTTGTTCTGCTTTTCTATTTTGTGTTATGTGTAAAGTGTGTTTGTCAAATTTTGTTAGTGGAAATTACATTAGGAGACAGTAAGATTTTCCAGGCTCTTATTTGAAAAAATGTACGGTTCTAACATAATTATGTCTAATTAAAAATTAAAAACAGAAAATGGTGGAGGCGCCACTCGATGTGCACTGTGACATATCACACATCACAAATCACAAATATTTCCTAAACTGAATTTTACCGAGTTGAACCAAGAGGGTATTATCGTTGGCAAATTCTTCACGGAACTTATTTTTGATACAGGTAGATTGTGATCGTCATCTATGTAAAAATTCTGTGTTGGTAACCATTGGGCATAGTCCGACTCTGGCATTCTGGGCATAATGAAGTTCCACTTACAAAAAAAATTGTATGAAGAACTGATATTATTTTGACCTCCTCTATTTGTACTCGACTTTCTTGTATCAAGTACCGGGACACTCTGTATATAATATTGATAATAAATTTAAAGTATTGATATAAAGTAACAATCTATCTTTACCCCACATTCATCTGCGTTTGCCTCACTTTGACACCAGTATGCTGGACCCCAGGTACATCGGTTGCTTCCTGCCAGTGGTTCACTTCTTTTTGGTCTAGTTTTCCCCCAGACTTTCGCTTCGCAATGTAACCTGGCCTAAAATATAATTATGATTACATTAAGAATATAAACAAAATCTACAATGGTACCCCTGTTCCACATTGATCTGCAGTTGCCTCATTTTGACACCAGTATCCAGGCCCTCTACTACAAAGCCTCGTTCCTACGAAATGGGTTTGTTTTGGCTTTGATCCCCCCCAAACTTTTGTAGCACAATGTAATCTAGCCTATAATTTCACAATTTAATTATAGGTAGTAACAACGGATTTTTATTTTAATAATTCTATAAAAATAATATACGGACGCCAAAAATTGCAACTAATAAAGTTGAATTCTTTACAAATTAATTATTAACAATGAATTTTGACAAAACTGTGGTAAAATTTTAAATAATATATTTTTATTTTTTTTTTAATTGTAATGACATTTTAATATATCGGCTGTTCCGAAATTAATGCAACAAAATTTGGTCACAGATTCTTAAGACAAATTTACGGGACCCATATTTTTTATTTTTGCCAAGTGGCCCCCTCTTTCGGAATTACAGCCCCCTGAAAGCCGCCCTAAGAATAGTATTTTTTATATCTTAGAACCCTGTTGTCCGAGAATCACTAAATTTGAAACACAGTGGTTTTATGACATGTATAATCTGATAGTACTAGGCTTTTTGAACAAGGAACCCCCTTAAGACACTTTTTCGTGGGACTCCTTGTCTTTGGATAGGTATGCATTATATTCTCACATTTTGCCATTTTTCTCGAAAACATTGAGTTTTACGAAAAAAGTGCCAAGAGACAAAAAAGTTTCAAAATTCAATGGTTTTCTTGCAGACTAAGAAATTTAAATATGCGACTGAATTTTTTAGGCTTCAAAAACAGAGTGAGGCCCTCGAAAAATTGTCTTTAGGGGATTCTCTGCCAAAAAGCGTAGAAGTATCAGATTCAACATGTCACAAAACCCCTGTGTACCAAATTTAGTGATTCTCGTACAACAGGGTTCTGAGATTAAAATTAAATTCCTAGCGACGGATTTCAGGGTGCTGTAACTCCAAAAAATATGGGTCTCCTAAATTTGTCTTAAGAATCTGTGACCAAAGGTTGCATTAATTTCGGGACACCCGACATTATAACACTGCTAATAATAAAATTTCTTAATATGCTATTGATTCTGTAATATGTAATACATGATGTTTCAATTCTAACATATCAAAAGTGATATAGAATTTCATTTTAAAGAAAATAATTCCTGTGAACAGAAGACTATAAAAAAATATAAGGTTTTCAATTTCACATTTTAAATATTTTCGAACAATATATCTCAGGAAGAATAAATGATACTGTGAGGGCTGAGGATCATTAAATAGGTACCTACCAAAAATGAAATAGTATAGGGGTTTACGAAAAATAACTCGTAGTGATTTAGACATAGTTCTCTCTCTAAAACCATATAAGGATGACAAAGATAAAGATAGTGATCTGAGCACTCGAAGTGAATTTTCGAAAGTGCCTTATAAAAGAACATTTTATGGGTTTGTAGATTGTATTTGAGACCCAAAATTTATTGCCCATTTAATTGTAATTTTCTTATGGAAAATTTGGAGCAATGAATTATTGATAACAGTGACATTTCATTGGAGCATGGTAGCAACCATACTGACAAATTTCGGATAGATGTCAAATATCAATTTTGAAAAAATATTATAGAATCTAACAGTTAATGCATGTGAGTTAATGGTTCTCAGTTCTCCATTCATGTCAAACTAACATTTAAATGTAATAAAATTATATCTACTAATATTTCCAATGCACTAAACTAATACCACCATATAGAAATAGGATCACATTTATTGAAAATATTTTCTATCCTGGATTTTTTATAGGTGTTCGGTCTTATATGTACAATTTTTTTTTGTTCTTTTGAGAAATACAGTTTAAGAGCTATTTTAATAACAAATTTAAAAAAAAACAAAAAGTTTGTATGAACATAAATATCAAAATCTTTAGTTTTTTAAACACAGCACAATTATGTTTTTTTTTTTGCAAGTTTCAGCGCAACAATTTGATTTTCAATTTTTTTAATTAAAAAAAAATCTGTATACTTTTGAATTGAATTGAAAATTAATTAGGATATTGAAAAAATCAAATGTTATTAAGTGTCTCTCTTATATTCGACATCAAATCTTAATTTGATATCACTTGTTCGCTTCTGTTACTTAAAGACTAATTTAAAATGAGGATTTGAACAAAACCTATTTTTTTACTATGTATTTCTGGATTAGTCCACAGGAAAATTTTCATTAAATTTTCGATCTCCTGTTTCAGTTTGGCAAATTAGAATTGGAACACTGTACAGAAAAATATAAATTTGAATAATTTATTATAGATATTTTAATTTTTTTCAATTTTACTTACTCGACACCGATCTGCATTTTGTTCACTTGCACACCAATAAGCAGGACCATAGGTGCAAGGATTACTGCCTGTTAAAATTCCAAGGTTTATGAATGCAGAGCACAGTTTGATTTCTTTGCAAATCCAGCCAGGACTTTTGTCATGAATAATGAAATTGAAAATGTTCTTGCCATATTTTTTAACTATTTCATCACACTGAAAGAGGTAGGTATTTTAATACATATAATTAAATGATTATTTTATTTAGTATTGTATTTATTTAAATAGTATTTTGCAAATTCCAATAATAGGTATGCAGTATAATCATTCTTTTTCTATTGTCGATTTTAATCTTTTATCGGATAAGCATAAATAGGTGGTTGTGGCCCTACTTCAGATGGATACTGAAGGTCAATGCACTGAAAATTATCTGCGATAAGCTGATGGTCAGAATTTGTATTTCTTTAGCCACCTCTAATAAGTAGTAACAAAATGGACCCCATGAAAAAATAGCTACTATGAGTATTGATAGCAATTTATACGACGGTATCTAGTTTATTTGCAAGTCTTCAAAAAGTTTATTTTATACTAGTATAACTGATTCAGTGGCATGCGTGTGAAAACTACAAACATAGAAAAAATAGGTTGTGTGAATCAGGTGAATTAAAGTTTGTAGCCATTCCAGAGAAGGTCTACAAATTTTGTTACTAGGTTTTCGTGTTGATATATGATAATTATACCCAAATATGAATTTAAATCAGATCATAAAAAGTCAAGTAAGTAATACTTTGAAATTTATCATGTTTTGGAATGTTCAGTATCAGTACCATCACGCTTAGGGAGTACTAGGTGTTAGGAAATAAACATGGAGAAAATGAAAATACAGATCAACTTGCAGAAAAAATAATTTGAAACAGTTTCTCTAGGATCAGTGGCAGTCTTTGGCATTCCTTGCCAGTGTCACAAAGCAGGCTTTGAAGGGATTGTCTCTACAGATTCGGGGGAAAGAAACGTATGCTTCCCTCATAAAAAAGACCAAACGAAATGCGGAGTATTAAGATCTAGCCCAGAAAGATCACAGGACTTTTAATAACACTGTCAACTGAAAAAGCATGTCTACAACATAAAATTAGTAGAGAATCCAATCTGCCGATATTGTAACTGAGAGGAATATATACTGGGTGAAACAACAAACTTTTCATGCCTGAGATTCCATCTCTTTGGAAAATCTTTATTAAATATAAGAGAATTGAGGAAAATATTAGGTAGCAAATTTTTAGATAAACGAATAAATAGACAGTATAAGAAGCAAAATAGTTCTTAATTGTCTAGGATGCTTCTGGAAAAATAAGTGGTCATATTTTGGTAATGAAATATGGAACCCATATTGATATGATTTCTAGATCCATATAGAGAATGTACGTTTTTCACAAAATATTCACTTTCATTTTTAAAGTTACCATACTACAAGTTTGGAAAATAGGTCAGCAAAAGAAAACTGTATTTCCATTTTAAAAACCGATTTTAAAGCAGAGAATAATAGTTTGCCTTCTATTTGTAGACACTGTTGCAGCAAAATTGAACTCAAAAGTTGGAATTCAAATCATAAATATGGGAATTAAAACAATAAATAAAGAAAAACGTAAAAAACGGTGCATAGAAATACAACACAGAATCGGAAAATTTGTTAAAATTAAACTAAGAGAAACAACTCGAAATTTTCACTTTAATCGGAATTTCCACTTAAATTGGGCATTCCGACTTTAAATTTGGAATTCATACTTTAAATGAAACAATTCGAAATTGACACACACAGAGAGGAAGCTGCAATTTTAGTCTTGGAATTTCGAATTTGAAATATAAATTTTTACTTAGAACTCAAAATTTTGTAGAGAATTTGGTTATTTCTTTGGGGTCTTTATGTCCAATTTTGTGGAAAATGAATGCCTCTGGAACGTCCATCGTCCAACATTCAGTTCTTGAAATTTTTCAAACACTGCAAGTTTTTAATACTTTGAATACAGATAGGCCAATCAATATAGAGCATTAAATCAGTGATTTTGTGACAAAAATACTAATTGGTAGCAAACGAACTGTGCCATCATGTAAAAAACAGTGTTTATATGTTTTCTACTCCAATTTACCATTAATTAATTTTTTATAAACATGCAAAAAACGCATTTTTTTTTTAGTTTTTTGCTTATAGAACCTAAATTAACGAAGCAATCTGAATGCTTTAAGGAGACAATTTCTAGAGAATCGAAATATGAATAAAACGAGAGGTCGATAATTAGAAACGAAGAAAACTCAGAAATTTTTTTTTACGCCGCCATTTTTTATATTGTAGAGCTAACCCGGTGCACAAAAGTAGTAAATTAGGTATACATACTTTAAAATGTGTATAAAGCAGTTGCTGTTGGACCATTAATTTTGGCACAATTGAATTTGAATTTTTTGGTGTACTATAGTTTCTGGATGGTGGTGGTCCGATTTTAATTTTTCAGCCGGATTTTAAAAGTACAAGTATAATACTACAATATTCTAATTTTCCGATAAAATGATGCGAAATAGGTGAAAAATTGCCTCCAAAAACACAGTGGCGGCTCGTCAGGTGACGCAATAAGTGACGCACCACTTCACCTAAAATTTCCGTTTGGTTGTGTAATTTAAAATTATTTTTAATTTTATAATTTAGATATAATTCTATATTGAAAATGTATTGTGTTTGTTTAATACGCAGAAATAAACAGAACAGTTGCGCGGTGAACGCCTTCTAGAAAAACATTGCCTTCGTTGAGTGGAAACATCAACCTCAGACCATAGTATACAGGTTCGGAAAGTCCCCATGGTACAGCGGCCGTTACGTGAGAGCGATAAAGTAAGTCATAGAAATCCGTGCGATAGACAAGGATGGTTACATTGAAGACGTTTCATAATCTTGTCTATCGCACGGATTTCTTTACTTTACTTTGTCGCTCTCATGTAAAGGCAGATGGACCATGTGGATTTTCCAGCCCTGTAGTATACGAAGTGACGCAGATTGAAATAAGTCTGTATTTTGCTTCTCTTATTCGTAGCGTTGTTTACGGCGGTTGTCATGGCAACGAGGCGGCCAATACGTGATTAAACTACTGCCTTTAATTTTGGGAACGTTACGCGAGATTGTCTTGACCACAAATCTTCCTTGGAACATACATGTACGGTGTGCGTTAATGTTCGTTGAAGTCCACAAGCCGCACTAATATTTCTATTTTTTATAAGATCTAAATGAAAATCCTTCTCACGAACGTCAGTTTTTCGGTAATATTGCAAATGCAACTAAAAATTTCCATATGTTTCACCTATTCTCAATGCTACGAGCCGCCACTGCAAAAACGGCCGAGCGCTGGTACGTAGTTGAGTAGGGAGGGAAGGTCGGGAGGTGTCCTCCATTATCAAATGGAATAATAAAGAATGGAAATAGTATCTGTATGCACGAGTACAAAAGTGCAAATAAATGGAAAACATTGATAGATTGCTCTGTGTACAGTAACAATAAGACAAGGGCTGCAGCTGCAGTTTCCCGTGCGTGAATTTTTAAAGTTAGAATTTAGAGTTCACAGTTGGAATTCCAAGTTTATAAATTCGAAATTCTGATTTTAAAGCCAAAATTTTGGAGTTAAAAAAGTCAGAATTTTTACTTGCAGTGTGAATTCTGATTTTAAACTTGGAATTCTAACATTAAATTTAGAAGTCTGACTTATTTGAACTAGAAATTCTAACTTACGTCGAAATTCTGAAAAAAAAAAAAATAGGAAGACATTTGTATCAGCCGTATATGAAGAATTTGGTGAAATTTAAAAAATGGATTGCTACCCGTGTACATACACTACTGAATACCTGGTTGCAGCAAAATCGAAAACGCAGAATATGAGTATAGCAATATCTACCAATTCTTTGTAAACGTTAATCTCTATTACAGATATTTCCTCTATTCTGCAACGTTTTCTTTATAAATACGCGATTTAAAAAAATTGTGATAACCACGTACATTGATAATGAATATGGAAAAATGGGGAAAAAATACATAAAACCAAAATGTAGAATGGGAATTTCTTTTATAAATAAACTAAGAGAATGCAATTTAATAAGATCAAAAATATCTTGCAAGTACGGTTAACACCGAATAAAACAATATCATATAGTAAATTTTTTATTAACACTATTTTCACATGATTAATATTTTACAAACGCAAACAAAAAAATCATTCCTTATCACAGTTCATAATTCACAACTTAATATGGCAATGTCCCATGTGATTAATTTTTCCAAGTAAACTGTGAGTTGGTAATAAAAACTAAAACTATTTTTCTCGTACTATTAAAAACTTTGGTTAAAAAAGAGATATACTAATAAGAGAGTAGCAGATGCCAATATGTATCACACATAACCTGAAAAAAATATATATGCTTAAATTTGAGATTGGAAACAAGAAACATTTACCAAATCTGAATTTTTATTTTTAAAATATATAAGAGGAATTCGCACAAAGTAAAAGTACTGAGACTCTAATGCTCTATGGTTTTTGTTTCCTACAAAGTTGGCAAAACTGCATTGAAGGTCAAGATGTTGCAATCGAAACACCCGCTCATTCTCAGTTGAGAACTATTGTTGTAGTGGTGTGTTGAAATGAGTGCTACTATTCCGAAAGGGAAAGGCCTCCTTCTAGATTTTTAACAAAATCAAAACTGTATAGAGATGGTGTGACAAATCGTACTAATTTGTACAAGTGATGTAGTGAGTATAAAAATGACAGAACAAATGTTCATGATGAACAAAGCAATGGGTGTCCCTCAATCTACACTGATGATATGGTAAACAAGACCAAGAAATGCTTCATGGCAACCATCAATTGACTTTACATGAGAAGCATGCAGCGTTTCCACAAATCTTAAGAACACTTCTGCATGAAATCTTTACTGAAACACTTGGTTATCGAAAAGTTTGTGCTAGGTGGATACAAAACAGGTCACAAATCAACACAAAGCTAACAGAATCTTCGTGGGAATTACATGAGCGTTTCGAAGAAGGAAGGTGAACAATTCCTTGATTGTATTGTGACTGACAACAAAACGTGAGTGGCAAACTACATCCCTGAGATGAAAAGACAAGCAATGCAGTGGCGACATCCATCTTCACCATCAGGGAAAAAATTCAAAGCCATTATTTCGGTCAG